TGCGGAGCAATGAAAGATCGACACAAAGCAGGGGATAATTTAATATGGACACAACTCCGTCCCTTTGCAATCATTTGGAAATGGATGAACTTTATGAGTTTGCTAATACAGAGGAAAGCTTTGTGAGCAAGAAGCAGAGAAGAAGTCAAAGTGGTGGAGCATCTTCATTCAAACAGAAAAAGAATAATGTTCAGCCAACTATTTGACGAACAAGTCAGAGTCAAGTCAAATAGGTGGAGCTGGTTTAAGAAACTGAGGATGAATAAAGTGCAGCAAGTTGGAGTCAAGTCAAATAAGGGCAAGAAGAAGGAGGAGAAAAATACTCCATGGCGATTCCTCTGTTGCTGTGACTGCGAAGTCTTGGAATAGCCCCCCCTCTATACCTCACCAACCGTTCATTTTCTCCCCTTTTATCTCCCCCTTTAGCTCCACCCCCTCCCCAAACCTTTCACTTTATCACCTTATTCCCTCAGTTCTATAAAAACTGAAGCTGATAAAGTTGATTGTTGAAATTATAAATAGTGCACAACAACTGCACAACTTATTGAAAAGTAATTAATATTAGACCCTAGCTTTCCCTTTTCTACCTTTTAATCCTTGTCTCTCTTATTTAGGTTTACTCCGGGTGCTCCGGTTCCCTAACACGAATTCTTAATTCGACTATAAAAAAAAATCCAATTTGAAAAAGAATAAATAAAGTAATTGACTTGAACCAGAAAATGACATGGAAAAAGTGATTATTTGCAAGTTATCTTAGGTTGACTGTTTTTTTCAGAGTTGATCTATGCCACCCACCATTCTGATGTAGGCTACTACACAATGTCTTCTGTTTCTGTCAAAAGAAATCAAAACATTTTAACCCTAACAATATACTGTCTCCCAATTTGGTGTCTTACTACAATTTAACTTTTGTAATGGAACTTTTAATCTTTTCCTGTATATTATATTAATTGAAATGTCTTTGTTGCCATTTAACAGGGATCCAGCCAGAGTCAGTGGATGAGATGGTGGTTCGGAAACCAAAATTGAAGTTGGTGTCAAATCAGGTGTAAAATCCACCTTGTATGCAGCATATTCAGGTGAGTCAACCATATGAATGTTATTCTAAACATCTAGGATAGGATAGGATAGGATAATACTTTATTGATCCCAGAGGGGAAATTCGGGCGTTACAGCAGCACAGACAAGAAAGCTCAAATACACATTAAACAGAATAGATGAGATAAATAAAAATAAAAATAAAAAATAAAAACAGGGGGTATATACAGTACAAAAATGAATGTTGAAGTTAACTGGGGGGAATTGAGAATTGAAACAGTATTTGAAGAGAATGACAAGATAAAGTGACAAGTGATGATTAAAGTGACTTGGTATGATAAATAAATGGTATAATATAGTGCAATATGAACAATATAGTGTAATATAATGAAATGTTATATAATATAGACTAGTATAATAATAAATATATAGAATGTACAGTATATATGTATATATATCTATGTATATACGCACACACCTTGAGGATCCTGGGACTGATGTTGTCTGGTCCACTGGCTTTTCTGATGTGGAGTCTGGAGAGTTCTCTTTGTACCTGGCTGGTAGTAAGAGTGAGAGTGGGACAGTGAGCGGGGTGAGGGTGAGGGTGGGCTGTCCTTTGAAGCTGCTGATGAGGAGCTGAGAGAGGGGGGGGAGGTGGTCAGGACCTTGATGGGAGGAAGAGGAAGAGCAGAGTCTCCAGCAGAGGTGTGCAAACAATTGCAGTTGGCAGTTCTATTAAAAACACACAAAATATAACTGATGAATCCTCATATAATCTTGTGTGGTGGGCCCCTTCCTGACCCGGGTGTGATGTCTGTTGGAGAAATTGAAAGACATTTAGCCACAGCTGGGGATCTGTAAGATTCTTCATGACTTGAGGAACTCACCATGGTGGAGTCCAAATTTGGTCTTGTGCCCTTCGGATCAGTTCTATCATACCAGTGCCCCTTAGAGGCTACTAGGGAAATAATGAAACATCCAAATGCCCCAGAATTCCCTCTGCTGCCTGTTGAAGGCTACAGGTTTCTAGCTGACTTTGAGTTTACTGCTGACTATGAGCAGCATTACCACCTTGAGAGCCTAAAGGTGTCTCACGAACTCTCTGCTGCCATAGAAGCTGAGACCAGGCAACAGTCTGTCAGCCCGCTGTGGGTCTCAGTACGAAAGCCAAGAGTGACTGCCAGCAGGTTCAGGGAGGCATGTCATGTACGTGGTGAGTTCTCAGCAAAAGCCCTGGCAGCGCATATTCTTAAAGGAGCGCCACAGACCCTGGCAATGAAAAGGGGTCTGAAGCAGGAGCCTGACATAATAAAACAGTTTTCTGATTTGTTTAATTTGTCTTCATTGTGCACCCTGATGCACCTCACCTTGGTGTCAGCCCAGATGGCAAAGTTTTTGACCCGACTGAAACTCCACCATTTGGACTGGTGGAAGTGAAATGCTGCAGTACCGATTCTGTTGCTGAGGTTAAGCACCTAACACCAGTCAGAGGTCAGGCCACACTTAAAAAGGGTCATAAATATTACTGGCAGGTTCAGGGCCAACTTGCCATCAGCGGACTGGAGTGGTGTGACTTTGTAACTGACACGCACACACACAGATCTCACAGTTCAGAGGGTCTGGAGGGATGAAGACACCATTCGTTCAATGAGGCAGCAGCTTGACATGTTCTATTACAACATCTATATGGATGTGTTTCTCAAGTCCAAACATTGAGTACTGTATGTGCTATCAATGCAGTTTATGAATTGTTGAGTGAAAAATCATAACCTTGTAAATAAGACTGTTTAATTAATGTTAAATGAAATGTTTACATGTGCCTTTTAATGAATTAAAACTAAAATGTATTTGTGTAACTGACTACAGTTCTGTTTTTTATGCTGCACTAAATAGTTATTCTACTTGACATGCTGTGATCCCATTTTAGATAAAAATGAGGAATATGTGATGTGAGGGTCTGTGTTTACTTCTTTTTTATTCAAATGTTAATCTCTTGACTTTGTAATGTAAATAAGTAACATATCATACACAAAATAATGAACATCACATATATACAATTCATGTGTTAATCTCTTGATTTGTAATGTAAATAACATATAAACAAAATAATATACATTACAGATATACAATTCATGTATACATTACATTTGATTAATTGTCATTAATAACTGGGGAATGTGCTAAATCCAACCAGCTAGACAGGCTTGTCACCTTTGATGTCCAGGGGGCCTTGGTAGTTCGTCAACAGGCAGCAAACTGCCCATAGTTGGTTGATGGAGCCGGCCAAGGAGAGAGGAACAACCCCATCCCAGATATGGTATTCCTTGACACGTCGTATTATCCTCTCCACCAACACTCTCAGGCAGGCAATAGCTTGAGTTTTTCCAGTGTCTGATGTGCTGAGCTGAGGGGCGGTTTTTAGTGGGGGGATGATCAGTGATGCCCCTACCTCTGCCAGCATATCCTCAATTAAAAACCCTTTGTCATTTATTATAAGACATTTGTTTTCTATTGAACCCCGTGAAGTCATGGAGTCTGTGGACAGTGTCAGCTTCACACCAAAAAATTTAAGTATTAGAAAAAATAGTGTTTAAGACTGGCATCTATTATGATGAGCTGCAGCTACCTTGTTCAATATTATTCCTGCAGATGTGGCTAATAACAAAAAAAACACCCTGAACTGTCACATGTAGTTAACTGTACATTTTGTCTTGTCTGAGGCATTAATTGAACACCTTTGTATTTCTCCTATAGACACAGTGTGGATTATTGGTGACTGGTCCGTCGAGGTGCCCAGAGAGCTGCAGAGACAGAGGAAGAAACCTGAGCTTCAACAACATCTGCATTTGTTGGTTCTTCTGGGGTGGATTTCGGTTGCTTCTCTTCAACAGCTCGCTGTGAGGGAGGTCTCCCCCGGATGGCCTGAGTGATGACACCCACAGACTGAGAGCTGAGACGTGTTTTAAGCCTCTTGACAAACCGTTACACCGCGCCCGCCTGTCAAGCTGGTCAGCTACACGCCTTATTGTGAATAACTCTTATCCTTCATCAAATCAAAACTGATGAGTCATCAAAACATTCACCCCCCGTACAGTGTGTGTCGATCGAGACATGAGCTAATCACACCTATTTGTTTGTTTTGTACCAAGCTGTAAACATGTTAATCTCTGCTATAAAAACAGACTTTTTTTAATGTTGTTTTTCAGATTAAATAAATATTTCTATATAAATGCACTCCTTTATGTCTACTTATGAGTATACATTTCAGATTTGAAATGACAAGACTAAAATGTGCATTAATGCTCAACTCAATAGCTTAGGGAAGGAAGTCTACTTTTACACAACTTTTTATTCTTTTGATAAATACTAATGCAGTTCATTTCTTAAAATGGGATGGAACAGAGTCATTGCAAAATGATGACCTTAAACACAGCCCCATTCTTAAATCAATATACATGGAGAGTAAATAAGATCAATAACTTGTGAATAAAAGCACAGTTAAAAATGATTTAGAAATGTAGTCTTCCCAGATCAATATCACATAATATCAACTTCTCCCATCTAAACTGGACAAAGGGTTTTAAAATGGGAAGAAAATGGTTTGATTGCAAGTTGTTTGGAGGAGATCTATTTTTATTTGAACAGCTGAAGCATGAATACAGTCTTCCAAGGTGCAAACCCTCCTCCTCCTCCTGAAGCTTGTGGAGCTCCTTGATGTACTGCTGTCTTATCTGCTGGCGATCTTCTCTCACCAGAACTTCAACTGTTGAAATGTCATTCTGAAGAAGCTCGAACATGTGACACGGATCCAGGAGAACATGGACTTTTAGTGAGGGGTCTTCAGGATGGCAAAGAAAGAGAGAAAATATCAGTTATTCATTAAATCATTTTTTTTGTTCTCATCTATTTTTCTGTATTCATCTGTGTGTAAGATTACATTTATAAATTCAACAGTGTACTACCCAGACAACAAAGGTCCAGTATTCAGGTAATCAACATCTATTCAAAGTTAAGAAGATAAACCTTATTGTAATCATTCTATTTTCAGCTCTCTCACTCACTCACACAATGATATTCCACATCAAATGATCTCAGATTTTGGGTGAGGAAAAATTAAGCAGCTTATTGTGGATAGTACTTCATCTTAACATGAAACAAATATAACCTGAATTATTTAAATCATTAACAGGTCCCAACTCTCTGTGCTTTAGTACAGAACATACAGTAACTCATTTATTATTAACATGAGCTCAGTACATGGCTGTATTCTTCAAACTATTTCTTATACTTTATATCTATGTGCTTTATATCTTATTTTCATTCCATATGTTATTTATATTTTATATTTCTACTGCTATATTCTGTAAATGAGTTCAGTGAAAATTAATATGGTTATTAATATAGTTACACAGTACACATTGCTGCGAGAGCTAAAAGCACTGCTAGGGAGAGTCAGGATGGGATAGGATGTGGGTAATGGAGAGAGAGAAATAGGAGAGGAGGACAACAGCAAACACAGATGCAGAAGCAGGTCAGGTCAGAAAAGCACATTTCCTTAGAAATAGGCCTCATTTCTATTCTTCTGTGCTTTGTAGACAGGACATCAAGCACAGAGGCACTGATCCAGAGTGGCTGAGAATGCCTCAAAACTTGGCTGTACCACACACAGCATGGTAAGTTACATTTTTACCTGCATAATTTGTTCTATCATGAATAATCTTTTTTTCCCCCCATTTTCTTTCTTATTTCCTTAGCTACTTGTTATTATATGTGATCTTATTGTGTTGTGCATAATTCAATCACAAAAAAAGAATAAATTAACAGGTATATCTGTGGATATTTAGCTAATTTGATCAATGATTGCTTTACTTTTTAGGGATGTTTTGTTGACTGTGCTGCAAATAAGAAAGGCAGGGCAAAGAGAGCTTTTCTTGAGGTCGGAGTGACTGTATACAGAAAAGATTACTTGGAACGGCACGTCACTGAAGCACCACCAGGAGAGCATCAGATGTCAGGCCTCTTGTTTCATCTGGTGGGTTCTGATTTCAACAGCCGTTTTGTAATAACTTCAGTATATTCAAATCCATTTTTAATAACTTTGTCATTTACAGGCATCTCAATGATGGATTCCTCTGAGCCAACTGTTGTTTTAGAGCACGAGGCAATCATTGGTGGGTTCAAGGGCCTTTACTGGCTCATAAAAAAGTAACTGGCCCCCACACAAACTACCCAAAGCTGTTGAGCCTGGCTGAGCTTCTAGGATGTAACTATTTCAAGAGATTAAAGGTAAAGGTCCCCTAGCCATAATTTCAAATTTAATTCAATCTTAACATTAATGAATACATTTTTTAAATATTTTATATTTTACTTTTCCCAACGTCAGATTGACCAGAGGAATAATTATAGATCTCATCGTATCATTGACGGAATGCTTGAGATCTTAGCAGGAGTCATCGAGGAGCCGACTTCCAGGCTAGCACTGATGTCTCTATGTCCAGACTGCTTCATTTGCATGTCTGCTATAGGACCATTTATTTTGTCTGATTTTAGAATTGCATACATCCTTGGTCCGAATGAACTTTTAATACTAAATACTTGCCTTTGCTTTCTCTCAGATACCTGGATAAAGAGGGACATGTGTTGAGTCAATTCCTGGACTTGGTCTCTATTGACGATGGCAAAGCAGACTCTGTGTTGTGACAGCCATCAAGGATGTAATCTTGAGGAAGGGCCTCCCAACAGAGAAACTCTATGGACTTGGGACTGAGGGGGCAGCCGTGATGACAGGTAAATATTTAATGCCTATGTGAGCTTGTTTTGTCTGTTGTATCCCATGCTTGTCACTCATTGATTTTATATACATTTTGGCGGCGTGTGAATGGGGTCCCTATTCAATGGGGGTGAATAGGGACCACCTTTAAGAACTTCATTTATTTTTCAGAAACAGTGCAAATCGTACTGCAACACTCGGGGCAGCATCGGCTACCCTGGGTGTCAGTGATCTGAAAATAAAGGTAATAGTTATTTGATACCATTGTAGTTATCTTCTGTCTATTCATAACTAATCATTCTGTCCTTTATTGCAACATTTTCAGGAAGTGAAGGATACAAGCTGGCTCTTTCAGCACAGGGTCATCGAGACCCTACTGAGGAACTTGAGTGCATTCCTTGGAGCCTTGGCAGAGGAGGCAGAGATGAGAAGATGTCCAGTGGCAAAGGGACCCTACACATTCTGTGCTACATACAGATAAAGCGGCAGCAGTTTACCTCCAGGCTGATGTTTTGCCCCACCTCGCATGTCTGTCCAAAATCTTTCAAAAAGCAAATGTCAACTTTTTACAAATCAAGGAGCAGGTAAGCTTAATGTGTTTATTATCTATATTATCATCTATTTATTCAAATCTGTTTGATTTCACACATTGAAATGAGGGTTGTTTGCAGGTCTGACCAATACTTAACAGCATCTTTTCTTTTTTATATATAGGTTCCTGTCACAATTCAGTCTCTGGCTGGACAGACTCCACTCCCTGGATCATGCCTGCCTCGCCTCCATCAGGACCTCGATGATCCCCAAGGACTCGGAGCCAGCACGAGGAGGAGAGGAATAGGAGAGGGCGAGATGTCATGAAGCGCTGAGGGAGGAGCAGTGAGCCAGAACCCAGCGAGAGGTAAATGTCCAATTTTGAAACTATGAATGAGAGAAAATGGAATTTATACTCCTGAATAGACTATGGCCTGGCCCTTAATGACGGAGGTAACAGTGGGTGTAGGCTCTTTCTAAAAATATGTTGATTTATTCATTGTAGGTCATCCACCCTTACATAACTGGCCTGGAAACACACCTGGAGAGGAGGTTTCATGATCTGGACATTCTTGGGGCCTTCAGTATCTTGGGACCCGCACCGCAATCAACCACTCTACAAGATGATACAATCAACATCTCTCATCTGCGGACTCTTGCCAGGAAATGTTGCCCTGAACATGAGAATGAGGTCCTGCAGGAGTGGTCCTCGTTCAAAAATCATGTCCTTCCTGGGGCATTCACGGTGGGTCAATTAAGCTGATTCTGACTACAATCAACTACAGTTCACAATACACACACATAGACTAATGCCTTGGTAAACCAAATGTTGTTTCAAGAACAATAACCAGGAGATCATGAGTCTGCTGGCAAGCGAGTTTGATGAGTGGACCAACCTCTACCCTGTCTGAGCCTCCTTGCAGGCATTGCACTTGTTTTACCCGTTTCCTGTGTCAATTACAACGTGATTTCTCAACGGTGAACAGGGTAAGAGCATGACCTTGAACAGGACAACAAATAATCATGCATTTTCTTCATATTAGTGCAGTTTGTGGTATTTTCTTTGCTTTATCCTCAGGTGAAAACAGACCTGAAACCAGCTTCAAGGTGAACACCTGGCTGCCTGCCTGAGGATCTCCATAAACGGACCCCATCCTGAGGCCTTCTCATGTAATAGGGCATTGGAATATTTTTTCAGAAAGCCCCATAAAATAAAATGTTCAAACACATCTTGCAAACTTTGCAACAAGTAGGCTGTGGAGCAGTCAAATGAGCGCTCTGTATATAATTTGAAAGTAAGGCACAACTGGCTTTCTGTCAGGCTGTCACAGTCTGTAGTAAGATGCCAAAGGGGAAACATGTTATGCTATTATTTGGATTTATTATTTATATTTATTTATGTTATATTTGAATAAACAAATCTAATACCCCGATCTTATGTACATTCTATTATTATTATTATTATTGTTATGTATGCACTCGGAAACACTGGG